CCCACAGGCTTCTGTAGATGGTGGTTCTATGTGATGGTGGTTCGATGATGGTGGTACTATGTGATGTGGTTCTATCTGATGGTGGTTCTATGATGGTGGTTCTATCTGACGGTGGTTCTATGTGATGGTGGTGGTCCTTGCAGTGGTCCTGCTGTGCGCCTGGTTTACTACTCACAGTTACTTGAATCATTCTGTCATATAGTCTCATGTATTATACATTGTTCATTCTGTACACATGGCACCATTGTAGTCTGTCCATCAGGAGACGGATCCTCCTCTGACGTTCTCTCTAAGGTTTCTTCCCTTTTTTCCTCTTGGAAGGGTCTTTTCATTTTTTTGGGAGTGTTTCCTGTGCCGATGGTGGGTTTCGGGACAGACGATGTTGTATGTGTACAGACTGTAAAGCCCTCTGAGGCTAATTTGTAATTTGCGATTTTGGGCTATACAAAATAAAATGAATTGAATTGAATCGGGTCTCAAACTCCAGCGTCCGGTGCCGCCCGCCGCCAACGGCGAGGAGTGGGCCGACTTTGGCGTACCGTCAGCGCCCCCCCCCTCAACGGCTGTACTGTTTGCCGGTCGGACCGTCAGCTCCGCCGGGTCCATAGCAGGGTAGTCCAAACTGTTTTCCCGAGGGCCACATACAGAAAAATATCCAAAGGACTGGGCCCCTCACTGGATGTGATGTATACTGCCTCACTTCTAATGCACTGATATCGGAAAAATCAATCAAATGCAGGTAAATTATGTTTGATAGTTGAACATGTGTGAAGAAAAACAGCCTCCATCATAGCTCTCCATCAGTAGATCTCATTTTATTTTTTACTAAAAGGTTGGCAGCTCATTCTCTCAGTGAGCCTCAGATTGGTTCTTGTTAGGTTGTAGTTAGAAACCACGAACTGGACGCCGTGAGTGTGTAAATATAAATGTGTGGACGGAAACAGAAAATAAAAGAAACGTGTGCTGAACAAACCTGCGGTGGTCCTTCCAGAATCCTAAAATCCACACGCGTCACAAATGACACGGAAAAGCACAATTTGCCTTTTTCACTTCCTGCGACAGGCAGTCTGCGCTTTTACCTCCGTGCGCCTTGTTTGTACCTCGCCGCGCTTTAACGTGCACATTGAGGAACAAACATGCGTGGGCACAAAAGCGCTGGTCCACGAGGCCCCGAGTGTGCAGCGTTCTGAGCCAGTCTCCACCACTCAAAGCTCAAAGTGCATGTCAACACCTGCTGCCATTCCAGATGCCACCTGCCCGTCAGGAGCAGAAATAATCCCCAACGGGGAAACATTCAGAGTAATCTGGGGGTCCGTATCCTGCCAGAGGACACTGTCCAATATGGACAGCAGGAGCTGAAGATCGGACTGTTAAGGTCTCTATCTGCTTAGCAGTTTTTCCCCGTCTGTGCTTTTGTTTTGTTTGTTTTTTGTTGTTTTGTTGTTTTTTTGCCACTGATCAGGATCAGGGCGCCTCGTATTTATTTTGTCAGATGTAGCGCACCAGTTTGCATGTTAATGTCCTGCAGTGTCAGACCCACGGAGTACACGTGACTCGTTTTAATCAGCCTCTGGTTATGGTGTCGGGCCTCGGGTTTCCACACCGGAACTGCTTCATCCCCTGACAGACGTCGGTGGAGTTTCCCTCCCGACTCCAGTTGAGCCCGAAAAGCACTTTCTGTTCCCCTTTTGACTATTTGCCTTGTTTTTTTTTTTCTTTTTCCCTTCCCAGGTCGTATGGGAAATACAATCATGTGCTACAAATCAAACTGCTGTGCTTGTGCATTTGGGTCGACCTACTACTCCCCCTAACATGGACGTAACGGATCGGAGGAGAACACACAGAGAATGAGGAAGGACACCAGGAGAACAGAACGCACTGTAGAGCAAACGTGCATATTTATTTTACCCAGTAAGTATTAGGAAGTCTGTCTGGAGACGAAAATTTGTCATCCCAGCAGTAAAATACTTTCACTTCACTTTTCAATTCACTGCTGATGCATTTGGACCTGACAGTGTGTCTCGTGTAGGCTGAGCTGCTCTTGACACTGTGGAAGTACAGAGTGGGAACATTAGACTGCAAACTGAGAAATCCACTTTTATCTGTCTCAAGTGTCACAAACAAGACTACACAACTCGGTCTCAACACACACGCGCATTGTCTAAACCCTATTTGGATAGGAGAAGATGCACGCCTCAGTGAGCTAATCTATTCCTTGAATGCTCCTCATGTGGTGGTGTTGTTATCAAATTGTGGATTTCAAGGAATAATACATCCTTCTGCAGAAGGCTTCAGCACTCACCCACCTGGAGGTGTCACCTCATCGAGGCAGGGTGTCACGGTTTGGGTTCTGTTTTATTTTGTAGTTTTTGGCCTCTGGGTAACTTCCAGTGTGAATTTCGTCGACGAAAACTATGACGAAAATTTTTCGTTAACGAAGCTTTTTTCCATGACTAAGACGAGACTAAGACGAGACTAAGACGAGACGAAAACGATCTTAAAAAATAAAAACTATGACTAAATGTATTCTAACTTTCGTTAACGAGACGAACATGTTGGTGGTTGACAAAGTCACGATACTTTTTCCCCCTAAATTCGCACGCAGCCGACAGACAACAGACAGACAAAGTACGGCGGTTATTAACGCGTCATGATGACGTCATCCTCCAACCCAGAACGCGCGCAGCGGTGGTTCTTGTGCACCGACTACGGACCGCGACGACTATTTTACGCTTCGGCGAGTTTGAATGTGGCTTCGTTAGTTTAGCTCGGCTGTCTCGGGTTAGCTGCCTGTTAGCTGCCTGTTAGCTGACTGTTAGCTGCCTGTTAGCTACCTGTTAGCTGACTGTTAGCTGCCTGTTAGCTGCCTGTTAGCAGGCTGAAGCCGCGCTGCTTCACAGAAACATGAAGACGCGTTTAAAGACTGTCGGACCTTTCTGCTCTGTTCTCTGGCGACGGCAGGCAGCGTTTCCTCGCTGGATGAGACGCTCCGTCACAAACGCGTCTAACGTAATAAACTCATTGCAGGTTCTGAAGCCTCACGCATTTCTACTGTAGTTCACGCGCCACATCGTGAGAAGACGTTAAACCGTCTCGGCCACCGTACGCTGGTTACTAAGCAACATAGAGGCGCCACACACGTCAAAAGCATTGCAAGTAAACAGACAAAGACAACAAAGTGTTGCGTTTAGATCCCTGGTCCTCATGAAGTTGTTACACCTTTGCCAATTTGTTAAATTGCCTTGCAAATAAATGCTTTGCTATTTGTTAAAATCCAAATCTTTTCACTTCCACCATTTGTTCTTGGCCCGGCTCCTCCGTCACATTTTATAACCCATTGTGGCCGCGAGTCAAAACGTTTGCCAACCTGCTATAGACCTGTCCTAGGAGGGACATCTATAGACCTGTCCTAGGAGGGACATCTATAGACCTGTTCTAGGAGGGACATCTGTAGACCTGTCCTAGGAGGGACATCCATAGACCTGTCCTATGAGGGACACCTATAGACCTGTCCTATGAGGGACATCTATAGACCTTTCCTAGGAGGGACATCTAATGGACAACCAAGTACTGCAAGCTGGACTATTATGCAGCTGTAGACACAACACAGGGGTTCCTGGGCCTGAGAAGGGAAGAAAAGGGGTTTAATAAAGCTATTAAATGGGACTAAAACTACTTACATTTTAGTCTAGTTTTCGTCAATGAAAACTAGACTAAAAATAAGAAGGATTAAAATGACTAAATGTGACTAAAACTAATATGGATTTTTCGTCTAAAGACTAAGACTAAATCAAAAATAGCTGCCAAAATGAACACTGGTAACTTCACTTCCTGCGTTGTCCCGAGATTGGCTGCCGTGTCATGATTGTTTCCACCTGTGTCCAATCACCTGCACCTCCCAGTGTATTTAAGCCGTGTGCGTCTCGTGTCACGTCATTGATGAATGTTCTGGAAGTTCAAGTCTGAGGCCACATTTACACATATTTACAGTATTTACAGAAACAAATATTTCTGCCCCTCTGTTTTCAAAAAAAGTTTCTGTTTATATGAACCCGCATAAATACGTCCCCGGGCGCCAACATAACTACGCCAAACCTGTAGTCGGCAGTGTAACGAGAAGGATAAAGACAAACCAATCAGAATTCTCAAAACCAACAACAAGTCGCACACTGTGACGTTTGACAACCTAAAACTCCGTTGGACCGAGTTCACACGCAAACACAAACACTGAGTTTTCAGAAATCTCCACTTTGGCCGGAGTTTTTAGAAACGATCGTTTTCCGTGATAAAACCTCCGTTTTTGTGTAAATAAAAGGCCCAAAGGTTTCCCCATCGTGTAAACGGGGTCTGAGGGTTCCTGGTTCCTATCAGGATTTTTCTCCCTTGGCCTTTTTTTGATTTGAAGTCTTGACTATCAGTCTTTTAGTTTCCCAAAGCTCTGCGTCTGGGTCCTGCCTTCCCCGCCACGTGACACACGGCTGGGAGGCTTGAAGCTGCCGTTTGGACGCCAGGTCGGCTCGGATGTCACCTTGTGGCCGACTACAGCTTTTCGCTCAAAGGGGCCGGCACGCCCGCTGCCAACCAACCTATCCAGCTGTCCCAGTTCGACCCTCCATCGGGGGGGGAGACTACTGTACCCGGTTGCGCTCTAAGGGCTTAGAGACCGTAGGACTGATCTCAGGACGACACCAGAACTTCTAGCCTGTGGAGGTCACCTGAGGTCACAGGTGACTTTGCTGTTATAAAATACTCGACCTGCACAGCCACGAGACAAAAGATCTGTGGTCATCCAGGATTCAGTGAACCGTAGTTACTCACGTAACTTTTGTTTCGTATTGATATCATCTTCATTCCAGTTGTTGTGACTTTATCAGAAGATTTCTGTTATTAACAACTGACAGATGTTGAGATTAAATACAACTCGAGTTCCGACCACTATTTAGCTGCTTGTAAGTGATGGGTGGAGATGTTCTTGCCAGCCATTGGTCCTTGTAACTCACTGCACACCTGCACATATATTTCAAACACAGAACTGAATCTCAACATTGAAAAAAGCTTCACTGCCACCCAGTGGGGGGAGTGCAAATCTACACTCACAGGTACACCGGGAGTCCCTGGATCTCCATCTGTGCCTCGCTCCCCCTGCAGAGACATACATCAGGATTAGATGTTTGTTTGCACATGTGCTGGTTTGGCTTTGTGTGAAAAGGTCATGATTACTTCTATCAGCCAATAGGAGCGGCCCGGGGAGGGACAGGGGGGGAATTGGCTACTGGTGACCTTTAACAAGCCGGACTTTCCATCTCTTTTCCTGCAGCACTGTCACACAGCGCTCCTTCCTCTGCTCCTGACGCCTCTTTTCAATTACAGCGCGTAAGAAGGAAGCGACGGAGTAACGGAGCTCATCGCTTCCTCTGTGTTGATGCTCAGACGTGAGATGGACTTTATGATGTGAGATGGACTTTATGTAGTATATTTACTGTCAGTCTCTTGATATAAGCTATGATATGACAATGGAAGATTATACGAAGCCATTGAGACCCTTAAGTCCACACAGCTGTAACGGGATTACTGTAATTATGTTTAAACAGGCCGAGTGTCATAATGTGTCTGTTCACAGAGGAGGTATTATTTGATTGTATTGTGTGTGTGTGTGTGTGTACTGTACCTGATTTAGTTGTGGTTTAATTAAGGACATGATTCTACCTGTTGACCCTGTTCTGTGGAATCGCTTCTTTACCACCATTGGTTTGATGCCATAACTCCTCCAGTGTTGTGAGTTTGTGTGTTGAACAGTGAAGCGTGAGTGTGAGGTGTAATACCTGGCGTCCCCCAGGGCCCGTCTCTCCTCTCCCCCCCTACAGATACGTTGGACATTAGAAGACGTCCAACTTACAGGAAGTGTCACATCCAAATAGAGGCTGGTGGAGGGGTCCGCCCTGTCAGCCGCATGGGGAGTGACCAGAGACGCACAGGACGCCGGCAAAGCCACTGATCAGGATCAGGGCGCCTCCTATTTATCAGCTTTCACGCACGGCTTTTGAAGTGAGAAGGACGACCTTCAGCACCATTGAAATGAATCATGTCATCTAAGCAACGTATGAACAAGTACATATCATAGCAGCCATTACTATCTACAGTCCAACATGCAAACGAAGGCTACAAATCATTCATAGTGTCGTCTGTTACCATTCGTTCTAAACCATCCAGGTGTTATTTGAAATGGTGCATGTACCATAATAGATGACTTTCACCTTGTGACCTTTGAACCCAGACAGTCCCGTGGCACCCGGCAGCCCTGGAAACCCCGACTCCCCTGCCGAGCCCTGTAGAAGTGAGAGTGTAAATCAATGGCTGCCATCGAAGAAACCACAGTGGTGCTGTTCTGCTGTGTTCCTCAAACTGGCCCATTTCACCCCACGTGTCCCACCATCATGTCCAAAGAGGAAGCACATACAGGGGAAAATAACGCTAGAGTTCTTTCCAGGTGTGTCTCTCCTATTGTGTGTAGAAACTTGCCAGCTGCTTCAGGGTCAGGGGTCGCCCTAAAGGTCACCGAGCCAGAAGCGACTTCCAACAGGAACAATCTGTACCCGTCACCAACAGATACAGGAATGCTTCACACTGTTCGTTAGTAAACGTATGTTCTGCAAATGAGTCCAGAGAACTTTTTCCATCGAAGCTAGAAGCTAAAAACCCAAAACCCCAAAACCAATCGGTAGCACAGACGACGCTGAATGCAGCTGTACGGCGTTGGGGGGGTTCTAAGCCCAATGTCACTTCATCTCACGGCATGAAAAGTGGGATTTTCGGGAGTATGCGGCACTGTAAATTGTCGTGGAATTTCAGGTTTTTGTTTTCACAGACTAATCTCGCCTCATAATGAGGCGGTGACCTCGTATTTGCTCCGGGAAAAGTCCAGATTTAGACGACGTCATTGTGTGTAAGTGACACTGTTTCTCCTTCCTTGTTAAATGTTACTGTGACTTGAGTTTTTTGTATTCATACCACACTCATTTAATTGTTTTCCAGCCGCCTGCGAGACGTATTGTGAGACGGGACGCAGGAGCTTCAGGTTCAGGCGGAACACTCATTGCGAGCGGAAGCTGCAAAGGATTCAGCGCGGAGTCGAGCGAGAAGAAAGAGGGTCAGAGTTTATTTGCTGACTTGTTTCAGGTGCATTGATCGATGTGTTGTGTCCGTACGCATCGCACAG